ATATAGATATGCTTATAGTTTTTTCCGCTGCTGACGCTTTTTTGCTCTTGACCGGTTAGTTGTCGGAACGACAGTACGTTTACGTTATCAACAATGCGTGAGCCAATATGTTTCTTTGAAAATAAATATGAGAACATCGCTTGCGCCTTCTAGTGCTCTTAAGCAAACACACAAGCAAGGGGGGCTGCGTGAGGTTTTCGCGCATCATGTTCGTAGGAAACTGTACGCTGCTCGAGCGCTGGTGCTCAACATATATTCCCGAATAACACGTATACATATGCACCTCGGAAGCTGATCTTCATGTACCATCTTAGTTTGATTCCAGGTGAAGTGCTGGCTGTAGCCAAGAAACTAAATTATAAAAATGGTCTATACCTTCCTATATCTGGCGATTTGAGCATGACATGATGAAGAGTGATATACTATATATGGGTGCGCAGTGGTATCGTGGGCATAAAGTCTATATAGACGCACACCTCGCAGCGCACATGTCGGTCTTATCAATTTCGGTGCTCATGCTGGCTGCGTTTTCTGCGCTTCATGTTATAATTTCGATGACGACTGCATTCGCCGTCCTGCAGTCACGACAAGTGTGAAGTAACTAACATACAACAGACCTGTCCACCGATAACTTCGCGGTAAACTGTCTTTTTTTATTGTTATCTTCGTCCTATGGGCGCACTCGTGCCATCAGTGAACGCAGGTTGATTTGCGAGCGAGTCAAGATAGATTAAAACATGTGTGGTCGTTTTCTCGTTCGAAGCATTCGTGACTTGACGTGCTTCAAGAGCGGACGTGTATACTGTATACACTATGTCAATTTATGGGAGCATGCATATGCTCAGAAAGTTCATCGCATAAAACTCCGAGCTGAGTTATTTCGCTTTCTCTTTTTTGTGTTTTTATGTCGCTTTATGCCGACGACATACATGGTCACACGCGAATCGCATTCCCGAAATTTTCAGGTGTCTGTATACAGTTCCATGATTGGTCATTCATTGTGCTGATGCGCGCCCCCTGCATGGCCCACTGATGTCTATGAGGACGCGTCGCCTAAGCCATTCATGAAAAAAATGTGTGTTACGTAATGCTACCTTTGTGAATACATACAGACTCTGGTTTTTATATAGCCCTGTCGCGCGTCACGTGTAGATAATACTGTTTATGTCTAAATCAATCAACTTATACTTCGATACGAGTACATTTCAATCGGGCGCCCTGTATGCATGTACTATATAATATGCTAACACCTCGATCTCGATGTTCTTCCTTTCGAAGTTGTCATACGCTGCTCGCAACTGGCCTATCTTGCTGATAACGTGGGTGCAGCATTTATCAGTCCTCTGACGAATTGCTCGGACAGAAAAACAATTTGATATAACGTTGTTACGTGTCAATAATAATTTGTGCCATGGAGGCAAGGAATGGGGTGTATCAACGTACCAAATGTTTTCCAAGACAACCTTGACCAATTATAAAGCACACAACCGCGTTTGTCCACACTATACATTATGCGAACATAACTTTCTCGAATCTTGGTATAATATCTGCGTGGGTGAAATCGGGATATTTGTTTGGAACCTTCTGAATAAGTGTCGATTAAGATGTTTAAAAGCGAGGTGTTTTAAATTGTTTGCTCGAAAATCTGTTTAGAAAGTCGATATGTACTTGGCTGAATGTCAGGCATTTGCACACTGTCTACTTGGATGTAGCTCAGTTTTCGGCGCTCGAAAAAGTGTTGGGCTCGCGAAGAGACGCACCCATCCGCGCCATGACGGTCGGCAAGGCGGGAGGATGCTGCTTGGCTGTTATCGATCCAAGATGGCCGGTTCGTGTTTCGCGTGGGTTGTGGTCGCGGCGAGCCTTTTTCTGGCGCGATCGCCTCATATGTCTAACACCTTCCTTTCCTTGAGAACAAAGAAGTCTTCTCAATGTTAGCTCCATCTATACAACGTTGCCGCTTGTAAAATCATGTCGTGGGTGTGTCGCCTTTGAGCAGGGAGAGGCGATTTGCGCTTAGAAGTAGAATTGTACATACCAGAGACTGAAATATTCACGTCAGCTACGCTACTGTGTATACATTTCCGGTGTTGTTTTACAGTCAACTTTTTGTCGCGCTTTTTGAAGTGAACTCTGCGTATTGCACGTAAATCCCGAACCCCCGAAAACATTTCAAGTTCTCGTCGAGAGGCACAGCGGTCACGGTGTCTGTATGTTGAAAAAAGCCGATCACTTCGTTATACATTCAATAGCTTATGACTGCTCTATAGATACTTGAACAAACGTTGCCCCGCCGTGGTGGTCTAGTGGCTAAGGTACTCGGCTGCTGACCCGCAGGGCGCGGGTTCGAATCCCGGCTGCGGCGGCTGCATTTCCGATGGAGGCGGAAATGTTGTAGGCCCGTGTACTCAGATTTGGGTGCACGTTAAAGAACCCCAGGTGGTCTAAATTTCCGGAGCCCTCCACTACGGCGTCTCTCATAATCATATAGTGGTTTTGGGACGTTAAACATCACATATCAATCAACTTGAACAAACGTTGTAGCTGAATGTTGTTATCAATGCTCGTTATTTCCGCGTGGTCGTTGTTGTACCTGTGCTCACGTGTATAGGGCTCGTTACCATGGAACCACAAACCACACACTCATTTTAGCAGCTGTGAAAATAGCGTGTTTACTCGCTTTCATTACAAGCTACAGGGGACGTGGGGCCAATCTGCGGCCAGAGTTTAATGGGGGTGAAACGCGAAAAAAAAGAAGACAGCTGTTCCTTTTAGATATATGTAAGCGCGTTGAAAAACCTGAGATTCAAATGAATTCGCAGTCTCTCACTGTGTGGCGTGTTTATAATCGCACACATGGATTCGGTACAAGACACAAGATTGTTCAGCTGTACTACATGCCATGCTTTGATGATGAAGTCATTTGCGTCTGGTATTTCACATATAGAAAAGCTAGTTGTGCTTGGCGTGTCATCACATCTATCGCGATGACTGTATACATGCAACACTCTATAGCCAGTTCGGCTTCTTTTTTTTTAGGCCGGTGGGGCGCCAGAAAAAATTGTCGTAACTATATAATGGCTCATTTTTGGGTATACTTTCTTGTACCCTTAATTTTGAGCAATATTATAAAAATCTGGTGACGTCGTACCAGCTTGCGATCGCATGGTGCCGAAACGTGGCAGAGAAACATCGTATATAGTTCCAACTTCGTAATTTGGCGCTTTGATTACGCAGATAGTAAACTTTATTTAAAAGGATTGCGCATCGGTCAAGCATCACGTAAAGGCCTATGGTGGTGACTACATAACGTAAATAACAACACTTCATAACCTGCCAGTCAAGCGTGTCTCGCGCTCACAAAAACTAAATTCTTTTGGATCCCTGGCTGGGACTGACTGAGAATTGTCTCGTGGGGGCCTCATTATGCAGATCAGGTATATATTGCTGAAAGTTCCTTTAAATGGCCCCGAAAGCACTCAGATTTTCAAGACGCGAGATTGCTTTTCTTTGCGCCGTCTCTATATATCCTCCTCGTCGCCACTTATTTGTAAAACACATGACAATGTAACCATCAAGCGTTGAGCCTATCTTCATTTCGCGCTTTTACGTCTACACCCTCTTTGCTGCGCTCGTGCGTTCAAAATGCACAAAACGAAGGGAAATGAGTTGATCGCACTTGATCACGCGAGACAAGGCAACAGGCGTGTCCTATGGCATGGAAAAGTGTGAGGTATATAGGAGGCAACTGACAACTGATACCCCTCGTACATTTACCAATCAAGAGCTTAATTCATCGTGACGTCACGTGAGCAGACTGCTTCTTGCGTCACGAATCGTGCCGAAAAGACTGGAAACGCCAGTATAGAGAATCGCTCGTTCTTTGCATTACATATGCGGAGGTTGTTTAGAGGCCCTTCAAAGCGCAGTCGGAGTGAGAGAATCGAAAGTGCTCCGCATTCTCAGTGTTCTGCACTCATGGACATAGCAAATCAAGTATATATCCTACACGTCAGGCACAGACACTAACTCCAGCGCACAAGAGGCAAACGCGGCAACACAAGCGATATATATCTAACAATTGTTGGCGCCTTTCCCTCTGGCGACCTGGCATTTTATAGTCATCTCCTTAGAATGGCGTATCCCACCAATCGATACTTCCGAAATATACGACGAACTGCATATGCCATCTCTTATATATACGCTTAGGTACAGACTGACGACTATGGGCTCGGCATCACGTAAATTTCTTCCTTGACCATAACTCATGTGACCATAACTGTGACAAAGTGACCATAACTCATGCTTCAATTCCAGCAACTGTGACTCTGAGCGCACTCTTTGTGCAGTCTATAGACTCATTTTTATTGGCACGAATTCTAGTCATTTCAAAAAAAGTAATGAGAGACGCGTGAAAAGAAGGGCCTTTTTTTTTTCTTTTTGGTAGCGCAAACGCTGATCATGTATGAAATTATTGCTAAAGTAAAAAAAAAACATGCTGCAGTAATATTGCTTAAATTATAATTTTGAGCGGTTTGTGTGTCGCATTTTACATTTTTGGCGAGCGGGTTTTGTTCTTAGCTATTTAAATAAAATTGAAGTGCACGGCTTTCACACATACGTGGTAATTTTGGCTATTTTAATGTCCTTCGCTCAAGATTGGTATATGCTTCTTATTCTAGTTTTTCCAGTTGGCTAGCTATTTTCTTCCGTCTTTTCGATGTGACAACCACGTTCATAAAGTTTATCCAGTTCATGGGATCACAATGGTATAATAATATCAGAATATAGCTATATGCATTCTCGCGCCAGCTTTTTCGCTCACGTATACATTATAATCAGCAGACGCTCATTGAAATCACCATTCTGGGAAGTGGTATAGGCGTGTTATATGGCCTGTCTGCCTTGTGGAGGGCCTTCTAAGTCCTTCACGAGAAAGAACTGAAGTCTATACAGCGCAGTTTGTGAAGCAAATTGGTGGCGCAGAGGTATAAAAATGATTATTCAATAGTACAGCGATTTTTATTTGTCAATTAATGGTATATCCTTTTTTTTTAATCTCACAACAAATACTAAATATGCCAACACTACAAGACATGTCAAGACAACAATGAACAAAAGGTGTTGCACACTTTGTTTTCCCTTGGCCTTTGAATGCAAGCTTGCACGACGAGAGAGACGTATACAGGCATACATCGGTATTTACATTCTACGGTGTTACGTAAACTACATATACATACGGGACCCCTGTACGGAATTACAAGAATGCCTGCTATATGTCTACTCGCAAATGTCTGCCTTGCCGCGCATGTATATATGACACATTCATTCTGTTACAAGCGAGAAGACGGAAGAGGAATATAGGTAACGGACGAGAGCTTTTGTGCATTGAGCTGTGGCATTCACCTTCGTGGTATAGTCTGTGAAGACTGCGTCTACATCACTGTTCGATGTAAAGGAAAAGCGACATATTGGCGTATTAGTTCCGGAGAGAGTTCGCAACAGCCACGTCATGCACGGTTCGCTCACGTATATATACGAACGTAATTTGGTCCGAGAGTCTGAATTGGCGTATATAGGTCGAGGGAAACGAACTAATATCCGACACTCGTGAAAAATACAAGCCTTCACTTTCATCTAACTCGTTCGGAAATGAGACGCTTGCAAGCGTACACGGAAAAATGTCAACGTTTCGCCCTTGTTTAAGGAAAAATTAATCCGCGCTGTTTAGATTGAGTCACGTCTCGCGCGTGTTTCACATGCGCACGCTGAGCCCGTCAAAACAATGACACGTCTAATGTGGACTGTTCCTGAAAGCTTCATGCTTGCGACCCCAGCGCTGGCACGTATAGCGAAGCGGTTATGAAGTAAGGAATTAAAGCCAGACATTGTTGCCGATTTCTGATGTTGTTGGCTGCAGTCTGACTGACAGGCTCTCGGCGGCTTGTTCATGTCGAGGGTGACTCGTCAAAATGGTTTAACGGCTGGTCGTATCAAATGTGAACGCGTCCAGCTATAGCTTCAGGTGCGTCATTTTCTCGTTCAACTATAATGTTTTGAACGTTATAGATTCGCAGCACATAGTCGCAAAAGGTAAATGAAATTATACGCGTGCCGAATGGGTTAATTGTCGCTGCATGAAGTCTGTGGGCTTGTGATAACTCGCCGTCAGTTGATGGCCAGCATTTTTCTGTTGCCACATCTAAACGAGAGTATACGTTTTTCAGTGCAACTTGGTTTCTGCACATTGATTTCTGAATCGTTCTCTTACACTGCAGCATGCGCAGAGGAACTTGATTTTACCCAGGCCTATAGCTGTACATGCAAGCACGCTTACGATCGCGCGCCTGTGAATTCATAATCATCTTTGCGTCAAATTGATGCAGGTTATAAGCTATAGCGACTATTCCTTCGGCATTACAAGACTTGGCCTGACATGTGTTTGTCTCACATGTTTTTTGCTAAAGTAATGCTGTCAATCACACGTTAAGGAGCCTGGTTAATCTCTCGGCCAAGGGCAGCCATAGTTCGTTTTGCGTCACTATAGGAATATCCCAGTGCACTGACTCGGCTATTGCGTGGCATCGTCGTCGCTTTTTATTTCTGTTAAGAATGACAGTCGAAGACAGCCCAGAAATGACATGCACTGCAGACACTGGACGTCGCCACGTGCGACCTCTTTCGGTGACCTGCATGATAAAACTATCGGGCTTTACGGGGACTAGTCTGGCGAGAGACCTATGTGTATGCATACATCTATAGCACAATAAATACCTACAGGGGGCGTGCAGAGCGACTATACTCTGAAGTGTCGGGCCGCAACAGAGAGTGATGTCATTCCCCATGTCGCCTTCGTCCGTTCAAGGTCTGTATCACTGCATCCGCGAAGTGGCCATCACTCGCACACAGCGCTGCTGGACGTATGGCCACCGTCGCATTTTGATGGCCCACCCGCAGACTCGCGGAGACACCGTTGGTGTGCAACACGCGTGGCCACCGCAATCCGGGACGCTGCGCTCGGTCCGAGTATACGCGAAACCGGTCGGGCACTGCAGTTTCGAGAGTTTCCGAATCGCTCTCCGCAAAGGGAGCGTGCACTGTCTGTAGGACTGGCGAATTGCACGATCACAGGCTCTTAAGTATCCACAAATCGGCAAGCTCAACGGCGCCGCCTGCGTATCAGCAGCGTCAGTTCAGAGCTTTTCCAGCGACCTGGGATTGGTGAGCAGCTCTCGCGTGAGCCTCCACGTCTGTTTGGCCGCGTTCTCGAGCGCCCCTGCCGACTTTCCCTTGAAGAGGTCCAGGTGTGGCAGGAAGTAGTGGGGGCAGCGGCGACACTGCAGGCACGAGATGAGCTGCAGCAGGATGCCGTTGAGACGGTCTCCGAGGCACGCGTCGTCCCACTCCAGCTCTCGCGGGTGCTTCTCGCACTCGTACAGCAGCAGCGTCTTGAGGTGGTACGCGGACACCGGGTTTCCCGGCAGGTCCAGGTGCCTGTCCCGCAGAGTCTTGAGCACGCTCAGGCATCGCCGGCGGCAGCCCCCCGAGAGGAGCCTGTTCTCGGCGTCGAGGAAGCTGAGGACCCAGGCGTCGCCCTCCATGGACGACTGCTTGCCCTGCAGGGTGGCGCACTCCTTGGAGAGCAGGTCGAACCCTTCGGCCTTCACCTCGGCCACCAGGTTCGGGTTGGGCCACGGTATGTGCGCCACGGGCCAGTGGGCCGCCGACCGGGGCCACAGTCCGGCGCAGCGGAACGCTGGCGTTATCTGCACCACGTATCGCTCGCGGATCCGCAGCCGCACCTCGCTCGTGTCGGCCAGCATCTTGACGCTGTCCCTGTAGCTGCACTTGTCGCACGCTTGCGCCACGAGCGTCTGGAAGCGCGAGCGGATCTTGCGAGCCGAGAGGTAGCCGGAAGCGGTGATGAATTCCACCCAGAGCGACATGGAGCGCTTGCGGCCGTCGCTCAGCTTGAGCACGGCGCAGCCGGGCAGCGTGCCGTCGTCCACGAAGTTGAACACGCCCATCTGGTTCAGGTAGAGCACGGCCTCGAACTCCGTGGGCGAGATGACCTCCATGCCCTCGTAGTGGCCGTTGCAGTCGTTCAGCGAGGAGATGAATCGCGGCTCCTGCACCTCGACCTCCTTGAGCACGTCCTGCACAACGCGGCACACCTCGCGCAATGTCTTGGCGACGCCCGCCTTGCGAGTCTGCACGCGCTCGCCGTAGAACTTGTTCAGCTGGTAGAGAAGCTTGGACTGGGCGCCCATCATGTCCGACGGAACGAGCATGGTGACGATGCCTGCCTCGAGGCCCGCCACGAGCTGCACGCCGCTTCCCCTTGCGCTGCTTCTCAAGCCGGCGTGCTCGTTGCTCGGCGTTTCGGCATGGAACGCGACGGCGGAAGGCAGCAGCGATTGCGGTGCGGGCTAGGCCGGCCTCTTCCGAACGAGCGGCCAGCTCCGCCCATGACTCCGCCTCCGTGGCTGGCGCGTTGTTGCCGCCGCTCGCGCCGGGGAGACGCACTCCCCCCTCCTCCTCCGTCGGTGCGCCGGCCACCCGGCGTTGTTGCCGCTGTCGGGCTAGCGCAGCGCGGGCGCCTTTCCACGGCCACGCCGCAGTCGCGACGAGGGTTCTCCTGTACAGGGCCCCTCGGTTGCGGCCCCGGCTGCTTTCAGAGCCATGCTAACCTCGGGTCTTCATTGTTTAAGCCGGTCCTTGGAAGTAATACGGCGTCGTCTACGTGTCACGCTTGCGGCGCTAATAGGATGTTCTAGAACAGGGTAGGCAAAGCTTGGCGTTAGCATTTATGGACACGGTGCATTCGTTATACATAACCTGCTGTCCCCAAGTTACGAAAATGGCGCCCCGTATTCAACTAACGCTAGTGCTGCGGAACATAGTACAAAATTCTGTTGTGTTCATCCCGATGCGTAAAAGGAGGCAAAGCCCGGATTCACCAAGGATCTATTGAGTAGCTAGATTATATGCTAGTGAGTAGCAGGTTACTATAGTGAGCAGAAGAAAAAAGACGGTTCGAAACAATTGGCATGATCCGATCTCGGGCCACCCTTATTATTGCACGGGCGCCTGTAAGCACGAAGATTTTTATTCATTGTCGTTTTGCAGACCACATTGAACGCATTTTCTCTAACATCTCATGCATTGTTGCAACGATACAGATAGAGAGAGCTAACGAGATTGTCGTCGCGCACCTTATACGAAGTTGTCTGTCAAGCCGTATCTTCAGCTTCCACGGGCTCCATCAACGCTGGGTATTTTGAAACCCTTCGTTTACTACTTCGGGGAATTCCGTGACGTGAATAGTGCACAGCATAGGTAAACAGAAATTAGTAATCCAAGTTATCAGACACCTCTTAGGAAAAAAGGGATGATATACATTTCCTCATCTTACTTCGCGCGTGCCCTCAACCGTGCAGTTTGACTAACTCGTAGTTGTAACTATCACGTACACAAAGCTGACCTGAAATTTTGTTGTTGTTTTTTGCGTGGCAGAAACAACATTTATAATTAATACTCCTGTTGCTGTAGAAAATAAGCAGGTCACCTTTATGTACAAATTGTTACATATTACAATCCGCATAAAAGTGTGTGATCATTGTGCCAAATATATACGTGGTTCATCCCACATAAGGGAGCACTTCCGCATATAAGGGTCCACTTGATATGTCATATATGGTGTGGTCGCGCCTTATAAGGCCAGGTTTGACTCTATATGAGCCAACCGCGTCATATATGTCTGTGTATAACCCCATACATGAACCGACACCGCCAGATATACATCCATATATGGTAAATGGAAGCCACTTACGCTGACATATATGCTTATATGTGGCCACATATAACCTTACCTATATAAGTACTATATATGAAATTTCCGTCAGGGTCACTCCATGAGTTTACATATATACTTACTCACTCTTTTTCCTACCGATCTGTGAGTTTCAGCCCCATCGAGTGTTCGACTGAAAGAAATTCTGACAAGTCCGAGTCCGTGCATCTGAGCTCGGCTGAGCGTAATTCCGGATAATCTGAGTATAAATGAGTCTGGGTTGTGAGATTCAGTCTGAATGAGCTGGGCTGAGCTGGATTTTGACGAGTCCGAATTAAAGCAATTGAGTAAAATTCTGACGGGCATGAGTTAGACCTATAGTTTGAATGAGCCGGGCGGAGTCGGATTTGGCGAGTCTGAATAAATGAAACTGAGTAAAATTCTGATGGGTATGAGTTGGGGATATATAGTCATGGGCTGAGTTGGGTTTTGATGAGTGCGAATAAATGCAATCGAGTAGAATTCTGACGGGCGTAAGTTGGAGCTATAGTTCGAATGAGCCGAGTGTAGTCGGATTTGGCGAGTCCGAATAAATGAAACTGAGTAAAATTCTGATGGGTATGAGTGTGCTATATATAGTCAGAATGAGCCGGCTGAGCTAGATTTTGACGAGTCCAAATAAACGCAATTGAGTATAGGATACTGATGGGCATGAGTTGGAGCTATAGTCCGTATGAGCCGGGCTGAGTTGGATTTTGACGCATCTGAATAAACGCAATTGAGTAGAATTGTGATGCGCATGAGTTGGAGCTATAGTCCGAATGAGCCGCGCTTAGTTGGATTTTGACAAGTCCGAATGACCGAAATTGAGTAAAATTTGATGGGCATGAATTGGTGATATTTAGTCAGAATGACCCGGGCTGACTTTCATGGATTTTGACGAGTCCGAATAAACGCAATTGAGTGTAGAATTCTGATAGGCACGAGTTGGAGCTATATAGTCAGAAAATTATTTTTGGACGTTAAACCCCACATAACAATCAATCAAAGCTATAGTCAGAATGAGCCGGACTGCGATGGATTTTGACGGATCCGAATAAACGCATTAAGGTAGAATTCTGATGGGCATGAGTTGGTTCGAACGAGCCGGGCTGAGCTGGATTTTGACGAGTCCGAATAAACACAATTGAGTAGAATTCTGAAGGGCACGAGTTGGAGCTATGTAGTCTGAATGAGCCGAGTTGAGGAGGATTTTGACGAGTCCGAATAAACGAAACTGCAGTAAACTTTTTTATTGGAATGAGTTGGAGCTATATATATATAGTCGGCCGAATGAGCCGCGCTGAGTTGGATTTGGACGAGTCCGAATAAACGCAATTGAGTGGAATTCTGATGCGCATGACTTGGAGCTATAGTTAGCATGAGCCACCCTGCGTTGGATTTTGACGAATCCGGATAGACGCAATTGAGTAAATCGTGATGAGCATGAGTTGGAGCTATAGTCCGAATGAACCGCGCTGAGTTGTATTTTGACGATGCCGAATAAACGAAATCGAGTAAAATTCTGATGCGCATGAGTTGCAGCTATAGTCAGAATGACCCGGGCCGAGTTGGATTTGGACGAGTCCGAATAAACGCAATTGAGCGGAATTCTGATAGGGACGAGTTGGAGGTATAGTCCAAAAATTATTTTTTGACGTTGAACTCCACATAACAATCAATCAAGGCTATAGTCAGAATGAGCCGGACTGAGTTGGATTTTGACGGATCAGAATAAACGCAATTGAGTAGAATTCTGATGGGTATGAGTGGGAGTGAGGTTTTACGCAGGTGATTGTGTTACTTACAAATCAATACACAGTATGGACGATATTTGTGCTTTACAGCGTGATCTTGACACTGTGGTAAGGTGGTATGAGAATTGGAAGATGTGTTTAAATTTAAAAAAGATGTTTTTTTTTACCAGAAAACGCAAACCTCTTCACTCATCGGACATTTTGTCGGAGCACAACTTGACCGTGTTGAACATTTTAAATACCTTGGTGTATACTTGTCTGCCGATTTAGCTTGGAGTAAGCATATATGTTACGTAACTGGCAAAGCCAACGGTGCATGTGTTAAGCCTTATTAAACGCAATTTCAAGTCTATCTCTAAAAGTTTGAAAGAAGCTTTGTCCTATCCTTGAATATGCCGGTACAGTGTGGGATCCTCATGGTCAAGGTACAAACTTAAATGCACACAAAACCGTGCTGCACGCCTTGTCAGTGAGAATTACAATCTTAACTTTTGTGTTGCGTGCATTAAAAGTGACTTAGAATAGAAACCTCTCGAGCAGCGCAAGAAATTTTTTGGGATTAAAGTTTTTCCATTCGATCTTTTGTGATTAAATACGTATTAATAAGCATGATGATCCCCCTTTACGTGTCACATAAAAATGGTCACTAAAAAAAGAAACCTGAGGTCAGCTGTCGTATACTGGTGTCATTGCTGCTTTTTCCGTTCCTTTCACTATTCTCGAATGGAATAAGTTGAAGGAGTTTGTTGTTGGCCTTCCATCCGATGCTTTTTGTGTGTGTGTGATCAAGTAAATGACGTGTCGACTGCTCTGTACACGCGAGCGAATACACCTCCATAAGGACCAGTTGGTCCTCTGCTGTTTTGTGCTGGTTGGATTGAATATTAAGGAGGGACACTATCGGAGACTTCAATCGTTGACTTATGAACATTTCCTTATCATTGTGTAGTGATGTGTGCGTATGTGTTTTTGCACATGCGTGCTCGAGTGTTCCATTGTCCACGCACTGTTTCGTATGTTTTCTTTTAAGATGCGTGTTGAACTTTCACTCAAGGGCTAAGGAGTAGCCGGCGCCATACTTGTGCGCCAGCATATTCTTATATGTCATATTAGGAGAAAAAAAAGATGTGTTTGTGAATACGCAGGCGCTGCTGCACAAATTTATGCCGTTTCCGACTGTGCAAGTGTGCGCCTTTTTCGACTGCGATATTGTTCCCCCCCCCCCCTACAATAATGCACGCTTGAGTGATGTAGGTTGCACGAACAAATAAATAACTAAATAAATAACTGGTGGAACAGTGGATATGTGGGGTGCTTCGCTTCTGACCCGAAGGTTGCAAGTTCGATCCTGACCGGCAGATCTTGGATTGGGCCAAGAGGGTAGCGGAGACCGAGGCTCCTCTGACACTCCACCACCGCACATTTCCCTCTTGGGATGAATAAAGTTTTTTCTCCTCCGGCCGCGGCGTCGAATTTCGATCGAGGCGAAGTGGTGCACAGGCTTGTGTACTGTGTGGTGTCAGTCTCTTTAACGTGCCCCCAAATCTGAGCACAGGGGCCTACAGTATTTTCGCCTTGATCGAAACTCCACATATTATTATAATTTTGACGAAAGACGTTATTAATTGCAGTGATGGAAGTGCGGCTCCAATTGCTCCTAACTGCTCCAAAATAGAAATGCTGCTCCATGCTGCTCAAAGAGCAATATTTGCTAGTATAACTGCTCTGAACCTGCTCCGAAATGATGTTGTTAAACTAAAAAACAAACAATGAAGTTGAACCACGTGACAATTTATGTGAGCCTAAA